CCGTCCCAGGTAGCAACGCATACCTGAACTGGCCAGGGAATATCATTGGCCAATGCCACACTTCCCAGGTGGTGTTAGTGGTAAAGAACCCGCCTGCCGATGCAGGAGATGTAAGAGATGCAGGTTCAATCCCTGGGTCGGGAAGATTCCCCAGGAGGAGGGCATGACAACCCACTCCAATATCCATGCCTGGAGAATCCCATGGACAGAGGAACCAGGTGGGCTATAGTCCAATGGGTCGCAAAGGGTCAGAAATGGACTGAAGCAACTTAGCACTCAACTTGCAGTGATTCCCAAACCTGACTGGTCATGAGAGTCCCCATACAGATTCCCAGGCCCTGCTCTGACAAACTTCATCAGCACTGGGCTGGATAAACCTGATGGTGAGGACATTTTTACAAGATCTCAGGGGATTCCAGTGACCAGCCAGGCTGGGGAGCAAGAGATGGCTTGGGGAGGCAGGGGAGGATGAGATTCTGGGAAGGCGGGGAGGGCAGAGCTCCCAGCCCCCGCTGGCAGCCAGAGCCACAGGTTTCAGGTCAGAGGATGAAGAAAGAGAGGAGCCCAAACAAGCCAGGACAGAGCAGGTTGGAGCTGAGCAAGCAGGGGCCAGATACTGGGCAAGTCACTCCTCCCCTCTGAGCCTCAGTTTCCTTCTCTGGGAAATGGGAATAGCAGCACTACTTCACAGGCACATAGGGGTGAAATAAATCAAGAAGTTTGCACAGAGCTGTGGCTATCACTGCATTTATCCACAGGTATTTATAAAACACCTACTACGTGCCACACACTGTGTGGACACTCAGATGCAAAGAACAAGACAGAGAGGCCTCAAAGCAGGTTGTCTGGAGAAGGTAGAGGAGATCCTAACACTGAGTGTTCAGGCCGTGATGGGGTGCAGGGGGCCTGCAGGGAGGAGGCAGGCTCTCTGGGAGGGAACAAACAGCCTGGATGCAGGCTCTGGCCCCGCGACTGGTCCCAGGATCTGGGTGAGTCTGTGACGACCTGATCTGCCTTTTGTGGTTCTCTCCCCGACCATGTTTGATGCTCCCCTTCCCTCGTGGGATTCTCAGAGCCCCTCACGAAGGCTGCACAACCAAGAGGCCCTCAGGGGAGCCTGTGGCTGGGTCAGGCTGGGTGAGCGCCTGCGTGCTGCCAAGAGGCAGAACTGTCCTGGCTCTGTCCCGCTGTTCCCCTCAGCCCCGGACAGCCTGGGTGGCGCAGAAGACTGCAGTTCCTAAGGGTTGAGGGAAGTGTCAGGCCTGCCAGCTCACCAGCCCTAGACTGGGCTCCCTCCAGGTGGCTCAGGGGCCTCCCAGGCCAAGGCCTGGGTCTCTTCCTTCCCCCATGCCCAGCGCAGACCTGGGCACAGAGCGACACAGTGCTGCAGACACTGTGACGGCCGTGTCATTTCTCAGCAGAAGCGCCACCAGGTCACCCTTCCCGGTGTGGGTGTGTGAAGGCAGAGTCACAGGGACTGGCTACCACCGGCCCAGCCCCATCCTGGGAATCCCGTGCATGTGGCCATCATAGGAAAGTGGGAAAGGCTGCACCGGGGGTAGGTACAGCCCAGCTCACCGAAACATTCCGTGCAGCAGTGGGCGGGAGTGCGGGTGTGGACGGACTGGGAGTCCCTCCAGAGAAGCCTGCAGCTGGGTCTCCCGATCCCGCTGCCTGCACACGCCCCAGCAGCCTAGGTCAGCTTGGCGTGCCTGGACAAAGCCATACAATGTCCCCAGGACCATGGCCCTCAGCCCCAGTCACTCTTCCCTGCTGCTCCCTCCTGCCCGGGCCTGGGCTGAGCATTCTTGGAAAGGGCCGGGCATTCCCTCTTTGGGCCCGGCGCTCTGCCCCAAGGACCCCCAACCCCAGCACTGCGGCCACCACCCTCCTGGGGCAGTTGGAGACATCTGGCTGTTCCCCCACTGTGGCCTCCCGACCACCCACCCACTCACTATGCGGGCAGGGACTTCTTTCCCCGCAGAAGGGTGAAGTCGGGGGCTGCCTCTGGCCAGCCCCACACTCTGACCCCTCCTCCCTCGGCCCCTCAGTAAGAGGGGACCTCCAGAGTCTTCGGGGAGACAGGGGCCCCGCCCAAGAGCCTGGGGTTGGGCAGGGGGTGGGGCTCTGGCCGCCCTTCCCAGCACAGCCCCGCCCCTCCTGCGCCCCGCTCCACCCCTGACACGCCAGGCTCCGGACAGGGGCTGAGTCACTGCTCCTCGGAGCCTCAGTGTCCCCATCCACACAATGGGGCGCCTCTCCGCGCTTCCTGAGACTGTTATTCAGGTAAATGAGATCACCCCTCGATGAGCCATCCGCGGCCCAGGGCTGGTTCTTCTGGTTGCGGCCGGATGTATGGTTGGGGGCCTGGTGGGTTCCGCGCCTCCTCCCTCTCGCCCTCCATCCCTACAGGGACTGCTGCCCAGGCAACGGACAGACGCCAGCCCACACTCCGAGCCCGCTGGAGTCCTGCGGTTGCCTCTGCAGATGCGCGCCCTGGATTCCAGCCCGTGGAAGGGAACTCACTGTCCTCCGCGTCTGTGGGGTCAGGGCGGGAAGGGCCGCGGGCCGGGGGCTCATCTAGCCCCTCCTTCACTGCTACTTCTGAGATCCAGAGAGGGCCTGGGATCTGCTCCAAGTCCTCACACCCCGCTGCCCGCTTCATAGACAGCGCCCGTGCCACTGCCCCGCCTTCTCCTCCCGCCCCCTCTCCCTCTGGTCCCAAACCCCCACCACTGGGGTCTCTGGCTGCTCCTGCCCCTGGGCCGACCCTCAGTCTCCAGGCATCGGGAAGAACAGGTGTTTGGAGTGGTCTGTGTGACTCTGCAGCAGCAGAGAATCCAGGCCTGTCTGTGAACTAGGATGGGGGCATCCCTCCTCTCATTAATCCCTCCACCCACCCCGACTTCTAAAGAACACCTGAAAATCAGACCCACCCAGCCCAGTGGTTTTCAGATTTACTCAAAGGAAGACTTCCGGGACTCCTCCCCTGCTGGCTGAGCTAGTAGGGCTGGGCTGGAGGGTGTTAGAGAGAATGGGCAGGACGGCCCCTCCCCCTTCCCCAGGAGGCAGCTTCACCTGACCTCCAAGCTGCTGGAACCTGGAGGGGAAAAAGGGCCAGGGAGGGCGGTGCTGCTCCCAGGGTACCACCTCCCCTGAATGCCCCATCCTCAGCTGACCATTTGAGGAGATGTCCCTGGAAGAGGCCCCGCCCTCTCTCCCACACCTGCCTTTTCTGGAAGCGCAGGTCTCAAGATTCCTGGAGTTGAGACAATGGAAGCATCCGGTTCCACCCACCCACCTTCAGTCCTGGTGCCTCTCTTGGGAGGATCCTGATTCCTGTCCTGGCCTGCCTCTCTTCCCCAACCGCCACCCCCCCCACCCACCTCGTCCCCTCTAAGAGGAGGACACAGCCCACAGGACCGTGAGGAGCTCTGGCTCCTGAGGTATTCTTGTCCATTTAGGGATGAGAAAATGAGGCTCCGTGAGGGGAAGGCACCGCCCAAGGTCACGGACCCACTTATGGGGCAAGAAGAGGGCACCTAAGACGTCCTCCTGACACGCTGACCTCGCCCTGGGTCTGGTGCTGCCTGGACCACCCTCCCTGGGGTCACTGCCTGGACTACCCTCCCTGGGATCATCAGCACTTGGGAGGCACAAGCAATCCCCCAAGCTCTGCCCAGACCTAGTCCTCACCCCTGTTCTAAGATGACCTCTGTCCTCCAAGTCAACAACAGTGGGTGTCCGCGGACAGCTCTCCCGTCCCCATTTCCCCCATACCCTTCACCCCTTCCTCACTAGGGTCCTCAGTGGCCACAAAAAGGAAGCATTCTATGTCTCAGTCAACAAGCTTTATTGGTCAGGGAGTGAGGACAGGAAAGGGACTGAAGCTGGGGGGCTGAGGCTGGGGAGGCTGGAGGCTGCGCAGCCAGTGGGGAGCCCCAGAGGGCTGGTGGGGGAGAGAGCCCTCAGTGGGTGGTCTGGTGGACCTGCTCTCGGCTGGAGATGACCCTGCCGTCCTGTACCTCCTCCACAATGGTGCGCACCTGGCGGGTGGTCACGGCTGCAGGAGACAGACACTCGGGGTGGGTAGGGACCCAGAGATCCTGGCTCAGCCCCCAGCCCCCTGAGCAGAGCCAGCTCTTCCCACCATGGCCACCTGTGTCCACGCCCCTGCTGGCCCCTCAACATCACACCCCCACACGTCCCCCCCCCCCACCCCGCCCCAACCGTGCCACTCCCTCCCTCCCACCCTGTTCCCTGCTGGTGCCCCTGGCTGGGTCCTGCCTCACAAATAAATGGTTTGATTCTGACCCTCTGCAAGAGGAAGACTGTACAGACCAGATGCTAGTCTGAAATGGAGTCTGATTCCATTTTTCTGCAGTCTCCAGGACATGGATTTTGCCCCCTTCAGACAAGGATCTCCAAGACAAGACCCTGGTCCCCATCATCTCCCTTAGACTAGAGGCTGGGACCTTATCTTCCTTTTCAGACTGGGATCTGGAGGACAAGGATCAAGTCCCTTTCTGCCACCAGACAAGAAACTCCAGACATGAGACTGCTTTTACTCATCTGTAAGGTCCCAAGAGCAAAGAGACTGAGACCATGTGCCTATCTCCCCACCAGATGAGAGTCTCAGAGCTGGGACCAAGTCTCTTTTCTCAGCCTAGGATCTCCCAGGTAAGGGCCTTTTCCTGCCCCGCCCCCATCAGACCAGACAGTGTCTCCCTCATCTAATTAGGACCCTAAGCCCCACCAGGTCTCTTCCCTGACCCCTGCTGAGGATCAGCCATCATTTCCTGGAGCTCCTGTGGTCACTCCCCCATCAATGTGCAGGTGGGTCACCTGCCTTGTACAGCCCCACCCTCAGTTACCGAAATGCTTACGTTCTTTGGTCTTGTACTGGGTCAGGCTGCAAAAAAAAAAAACAAAGATTAGATGTGGGTCTGGGACTCAGCCCTGCCCCAGGCCCCCAGCCCTGGCCCGGCTCTCCCACTCACTGGGCATCCTCGCCCTCCAGCAGGCGGCGGTAGGTGGCGATCTCCTGCTCCAGCCGGGTCTTCACGTCCAGCAGGATCTTGTACTCCTGGTTCTGCTGCTCCATCTCACAGCGCAGCTGAGCCAGCTGCTCCTCCACGCTGCCGATCAGGCCCTGGATCTGGGACAGCTGCACGCAGTAGCGGTTCTCTGTCTCAGCCAGGCTACCCTCCAGGGATGCTTTCTGCAGGGGAGCAGGAGAGGCCGGATCAGCGAGGGTGAGCAGGGCCCCCTCCAGAGCCCTGGGCACCTCCCTGCCAGGCCCGGCCTCTCCCCTACCATGCTGAGCTGGGACTGCAGTTCGATCTCCAGGGCCTGCAAGGTGCGCCGGAGCTCCGAGATCTCGCTCTTGCCGCTCTGCACCAGTTCGCTGTTGGTGGCCACCTCGCGGTTCAGCTCCTCCGTCTGCAGACAGGAGACAGGACAGGGCAGAATGAGCCCAGCTTCCCTTCTCCAAGGCGACCCCCATGGTCTCTATATGCTCAGCCCAGGGCCCACTCTGGACCCAGACAGGCACCTGGGCTCACCCCATTCCCCCCAACTCCCCTCACCACAGCTACCTTCCTGACCTCCCTAGGCCTCTCAAGCCTCCTTCCAAACCTGACTGCAGGAGCAACGCCTTCTTATCAGCCTCCCACCTCCCCAAACCTAGAAGACTTTGAAAGGATGTTAAGTTTTATCTCTAATGCCTTCAAGAAGAAGGTACAAGAGTAGGAAATTTGAGAACCAGCCAGGACAGTAGCCAGGCCCATGGTACTGGTTCCTGACTTCTTGAGGGACAGATGGAAGCTCCTGGGGTCTTGACCCTCTGGCTTTATTCCTGAGGGTGGCTCCCCCTGACCCCATCAGATCCCAGTTTCAGGCAAGCTGTAGGCCTGTGAATGCAACAGGCGACCCTGACACCCAGGATCTGTGCAGCTCACCGTGTAGCCCAACATGCCAGGCTCTGGGCTTACTGTGGGGGTTCAGGTCCTGCACCCCACACCCTGGGAGAGACCTCTGGTCTGTGGCAGCCCCCACCTTGCTGAAGAACCAGTCCTCGGCATCCTTGCGGTTCTTCTCCGCCATCTTCTCGTACTGGTCACGCATCTCGTTCAGGATTCGGCTCAGGTCCACGCCGGGTGCGGCATCCATCTCCACGTTGATCTCGCCACCCACCTGGCATCGCAGGGCTTTCATCTCCTGTGGAGGAGGGGGTGGTGGGTGTGGGCATCCCCCGCGCTGACCTCTCACTCCCAACCTTCCCACGCAAGCTCTCCAGACCCCTCCCACAACATCTCCTTTGTTCTGCTCATCCTCTACCCTCTGATCCTCCACATAACTTTTGTTCACCTGGTCTGTGTGGGCTTTGCCTCCAATATCAGACTAGGGGTTCCCCCAGGATAGATTCTGTGCTCCCCCACTAGACTGAGGGCTCTCTAAAAATTAAATCTTAGGCCTGAGCCCCCAAAACCTCCCATCTAATTTCCATACTTCTACCTAGGGTCCAGATTGGAGGGTTTGAGCTGGGAATCCTCCTCAATTATCTCCAGTCTGGTGAGGGAGGCCAGGATGGGCATAAGAGGTTTCTGTGGGCCCCTGGGAGACTCCCCAGATGCAGGGAAGCAGGGTGGTACCTGGAGAAGGCTGCCCTGCATGGGTAACTGGGCTCTGCAGACAGGGCAATGCTCTAAGCTAACCAACCTAGACACCTGGGCAGCACCCTGCCTTCCAATGATAAGGGGGGTGGAATGAAAGCCAATCCCAGTCGTGGGGCCCTGAGACCTCGGAAGGCAAGGCCCCACCCCTGCCCATCTTCCTGACTCCTCTCTCTGCCTCCTGCCTCCCCTCCCTCTCTTCCATCACCTAACTAAGCCCAGCGAACTTCAGAATCTGCTACACAATAGGACTTCTCATCCCAGTCGCAGCCTTGGCACAGCAATGGAGCCCTGCCACCCCCTCAGCATCTCTTTGACCTACTGCCCCGGCTGCCTCACCTCCTCGTGATTCTTGCGGAGGTAGGCCAGCTCCTCCTTGAGGTTCTCGATCTGCATCTCCAGGTCAGCTCTGGCCAGGGTCAGCTCATCCAGGACCCTGCGCAGGCCGTTGGTGTCGGCCTCCACGCTCACACGCAGGGCCTGCTCTGTCTCAAACCTGCAAAGGGAACCAGAGACTTACGTCAAGATGCTTGGACTAGCTGGTGCAGGTTCTGGCCAGCACCCTGCCCTTGAATGATGAGGGGGTATTTGTTCAGTTGCTAATTCATGTCCAACTCTTTGCCACCCCATGGACTGCAGCACACCAGGCTTCCCTGTCCTTCACCATCTCCTGGAGTTTCTTCAAATTCATATCCATTGAGTCAGTGATGCCTTCCAACCATCTCATCCTCAGTCGCCCCCTTCTCCTCCTGCCCTCAAATCTTTCCCATCATCAGGGTCTTTTCCAATGAGAGGGTGGAGTGGAAACCATTCCCAGCCCTGGGGCCCTGGGACCACGCAGTGCAAGGCCCCACCCCACCCGGCTTCCTGACTCCTCTCCTCTCTGCCTCCTGCCTCCCCTCTCTCTCTTCCATCACCTGACTAAGCCCAGTGACCTTCAGAATTTGCTGCTTTTGCAGCTTCCTGGGCTAAGAGGTGAACTCCTTAACCCCTAGATTCTGGACCTTGCCATCAGCCACTGAGGAGGCCTGGGCTCCTCAGTAAGGAGGGCTGCCCCCAGTTTCTCCCCAGACCCTGGTCAGGGCTCACTTGGTGCGGAAGTCATCAGCAGCCAGGCGGGCATTGTCGATCTGAAGCAGGATGTTGGCATTGTCCACGGTGGCCGTGAGGATCTGGGAAGATGGGAGAGTGATCAGGTCCCTGGGTGGGAGCAACTCAGCCCAGACCAGGATTCTGAGATGAGACTCTCCATCTGGGGGCCAGGATGTGACTACCTTCTCCGGGAAGGCTCCCTTACCACCCTGTCTCCCAGCTTTACGGCTCAACAGTTGGTGACAGAGGCAGGGCCAGCAGGAGTCTGATGGCTGATACTCCCCTCCTCTCCCAGACTTGCCTCCTCCCCCCCACAGAACCCCCTTGCCAGACTCTGCCTTAAAGCAAAGCAGACAGCCAGCAGGGAGTGCCAGCCTTGGAATGCAGGAGAGCCAGAAAAGGAGGATGCCCCAGGCAGAAACTCTTCCTGAATCCTGGAAAGAGGATGGATGTGAGAAACTCGCTCTTATTACAACTGGGGATACGGTGCCCCTGAGAGGCTTCCCGCAAGAGGAAAACTAAAGGAGCCCTCACCAAAGTGCAATTCCAAATCAGAAGTCGCGACCTCTGCTAAGCCCTGACCCTACGCTCCAGCAGGCAGCCCTGCCCCAAGTTTGCGGAGCCTGTCTTGAGGGCGCAGCAGGAGAGATGGAGAAGCCAGAAAAATCCCCAAATAAGGCATAGAAGTGGGCTCCTGAGGTCCCACCCGCTCTCTCCTGCCTCCTCCTCCCAGCAGGTGCCAGCAGGAGCTCACCAGACCCCTGACACCACCTTAGCCCTAAATCCCCCTCTTGTTCCAAGGAAAGCTATGTCTGAGTATCCGGCAGCCCCAGGAGCCCAGCCCTCCTCATGCCTCCATCCCTCTTATCCTACAACCACACAAGGTGGCAAAAAGCTCCATGATAGGAAACAGGCTCCAGGGAGCCCCACAAGACCTACTTGTCCCTACCCCAGGCTACTCTCCTGAAAAAGAAATCGTAAGCCACATAGTGGCCCCAAGGTGGGCTCCCAGAGGTCAAGCTGGAGCCAAGCTGTCCTTGGCTCCCCAAGACCCTGTGGCAGCCCCCAGGCTGGGCTCCAGGCCTTGAGCAAGGGCAGATGGCAGTGGAGGAAAAGCTGTGCCCCACCCAGGACCCCTCCCATCACAGCTCCTACCTTGTTCCGCAGATCTTCGATGGTCTTGAAGTAGGAGCTGTAGTCAGGAGCCGGCCCCGGGGCCTGCTTCTGGTACCAATCACGGATCTTCAGCTCCAGCTCCGTGTTGGCCTCCTCCAGGGCGCGCACCTTGTCCAGGTAGGAGGCCAGGCGGTCGTTGAGGTTCTGCATGGTGGCTTTCTCGCCTCCCACCAGCAGCCCGTCGACACCTCCAAAGCCGCCACCATAGCCACCGCTGACATAACCACCGCTGCCATAGCCACCGCCAGAGCTAAAGCTGTAACAGCTAGAGTAGCTGCTGCCTCCAAGGCCACTGCCCAGGCCGCCGGCAGACCCCAGCCTGCAGGAGCCACCGCCCAGGCTGCCAGACACCCGGCAGGAGCGGGACGAGCCGCCCGCCAGGCCGGAGGCGCCCTTGATGGAGCCGGAGGAGAAGTGGCGGATGGTGGTGGTCATGGTGGCGGCAGCAGGTGGCAGGGAGACACGGAGAGAGAAGCCTGGAGAGGAGAGACGCCCAAGGTGCTGTGACTGCCGGGGCTCACCGGCCTCCTTTATAGGCCCTGACAAGTGGGTGTAGCGATTACAACAGGCTCACTCCTCTGTTTCCATTCCCCTGGGCTTTCATCACTGCTGGCTGCCTGCCAGCTCCCAGGTGGCTGTGGGCCCCCTCCCCTCCCACCGTCAGGTCTTTGCATCATTTCTCTGAACCCTCACGCTGGGCGTCTGCGTGTGTGTGCCTCTGGTCCCAGGCCCGTCACCTGTGATTCAGGCGGGCCCTCCAGCTACGCTTTCCCATGACCTAATACGGAGAAGAGGAATAAGAAGGACGTCACTGTCACGGGCCCTCCCAGGCAGCTGCCACCCCAGCCACACCTGCTTGGACCCTGTGTCTGGTGGGCAAATGGGTTTGGAACCCAGGCTGCTCCCAGCCATACACCATGCCACACCTGGGGCTACCCCTGGGCGGCAGAGGGGGCAGCAAGCCCTGAGACCCCATCTTGCCTTGGACCCACCCACGGGGCTCAGCATGCAGCATCTTGGTCAAGGTTGATTACCACCCCATTTACAATAAAGGAAACTGGGGCTTATACGGGGAGGGTGTCCCTCTGCCCGACCTGACTCAGAACCCGGCTGGCTGGGTTTCATCCTTCATCCTTCACTGCACTCAGCCACAGCACCCTTCCGCCTCCCCGCGGGCCCCTGACACACTGGCCCCCCCTTTCTGCAAGGCCCGGATGCCAGGGGAGCATGCTGGGGCCATGATTCCATCTGGCCAGTTTTCTGCTCCTGTCTCTATCCTTGGAACCCCCTGGTACTCTAGCATCCTTTCTTGACCTTTCCCCATTTTCTCTTTCTCAGATGGGGAGTTCTGGGCTGGAGTGGGCAAAGAGGAGCTTAGCTGCAGGCTGGGGAAGTAGCAGCTTGGGAGGGGGCATCAAGATAAGGGGAACAGGAAGAACTCTGAGGGGCAGGCCCCTTCCAGCCTCCCTACCCCTCCTGTGTCCCAAGAACCCTCGGATGGGGGTATGTGGCTTCAGGTCCCAGCCGGCTGGAAATCTAAAGGACACTGGCCAAGAAGACGGTCTTCCTGGGAACCCCCAACCCCCACCAGTCCCCTCCCCTGCAGCCACCCCCAGAGGCCCCACCCCATCCCCTGAGCTAGCCCCTCAGGATGGGCCGGGTGCCCGCCCCACAGCCCCACACTGACCTGCCCACCACCCTCCGTCCCAGGGTCCCGGCGGGCCCGCTGGGCGGAATGTGGTCGTGTCTCAGACTGCCAATGGCTTCCACTTCCCAGACAGGCCCAGACAGCCCCCGCCAGCAGCTGAGAGAGATTCCCCAATAGCCCTGCAGCTGCCAAGCCACCAAAGCAAACAGGACGCCCCCCCCCCCACGCTCACACGCAGAGCGGCCACCCCGCCCCACACACCCCCAAGCCCAACAGAGCCCGTCTGGTTCCCTGGGGTGGCCATGCCCCTGCCAGCCTCACACCCTTCAGTGCCCTGGACCACTTCTCCAGGAAGTCCCCTGCCCAGCCCCTCTCCCTCTGATCTTGGCCTTGTAGCCGCCCCAGGCTGAGGCAGGGAGCTCTCTATAACAGGTATGGCTCCTGGAAAGTCTATGGGGCCTTCCCAGGGGCCAGTCTCAGACATTGGGGGACCCAGGGACTGATTCTCAAAACCTTCCCCAACTGGTGGACTGTCCCATCCCTCTATCCTCAAGCATCCTGCCTCCCTCCTTTGGGCCCCAGGCCCGGATGGGGTGGGAGAACAGATTGGCAGGTGACAAGCAGCCCCAGACATTTAACAATGTCTGTCTCACCCCGCCATCGCCAGCCCACACTGCCCAAACCAATGACCAGACCAAATCACAGGAGACACAGAACTTCAAGCAAAGCTTTAATTGCAGTCACTGGGACAAAGTCAGGAGGCCCCCGTCAGCGAGGGGCTGCGGGAAGCAGACAGAGAAATGCAACAGCTCTTGGGTGGTGGCCCAGACGGGCTCTCGGGGCGCGGCAGTAGCGTGCTGGGAGCTGGAGGCAATGGCTGCCCCTGGGCCCTGGAGGCTGGGCTGTTGCAGGTTGAAAGGGGCCTCAGTGGGTGGAGCGGTGGACCTGCTCGCGGGAGGAGACCACCTTGCCGTCCTGAACTTCCTCCATAATGGTCCTCACCTGGCGGGTGGTCACCGTGCCTGCAGGCGGAGGGGGAAGGATACACACAGAACCTCAGGCTGGAGGCCCTCCCTGAGCCCCCCACACAGAAGGGGCCTCAGCCTCTCCCCACCCGCCCTGGGCAGGACGGGGCAGGCTCTTACCTTCCCAGCTGGGCTGTGAGACCAGGGAGGAGGAATACTGAGTGGACAGGCTGCAGGAAGAGGGGGAGCTGTCAGCCCAGGGGTGCCAGTGGGGAGTCTAGCCCCCTGGGAGGAGGAGCAGCTGGGGAGGCTGAGGGGAAAGAGGTCCCAGGAAACCGGAGAGAAATCACAGCGGGGAGTACATAGAAGAGAATGGCAACCATGGGGTCAAAGGGACAGGCCCAGTGGGCAGGAATAAAGAAAGCAGATACCCCAACAGGAGGCCCAAAGGCACTTTGCTGCCAACCAGGGATTTACAAGGAGAAGCTGAGCGAGTGTTTTTTTTCCATATCCTGAAGGGCCCAACAAATAAACTTTATTAAAAGAGGAGAGACTGTGGTTAGACTACAGATGGACTTGGCCATGGTCACAGAGCAAAACGCTGGAATGAGTGTCTGAGCATGGAGACTCCAGGATATCCATGGCCCCTTTACACCAGGGCCTGAGCACCCTCCCAACTCCAAACCAGAGCGCCACCCATCCTGGACAATGGGATCACCATCCATACAGTCACTGGAACCAGAAACCCAGGGTCATTGTTACCCGTTTCTTCATGCACTTACTCAAACATTTATTGAGTTCCGCCTACAAGCCACGCTCACCCCCGTGTTCAGGCATCCAGCCCTGCTGTTTTTAGCTGTAACACATCCTCTGAGTGCACCACCTCCCCTCCCCTGTCCTCCACCTGCCTTATAGCAGGTCTTCTTCCCCGGTGACTCAGACGGTAAAGAATCTGCCTGCAATGCAGGAAACCTGAGTTCGATCCCTGGGTCGGGAAGATGCCCTAGAGGAGGGCATGGTCACCCACTCCAGCATTTTTGCCTGGAGAATTCCATGGCCAGAGGAGCCTGGAGGACTATAGTCCATGGAGTCACAAAGAGTCTGGACCTGACTGAGCGACTAACACTTTCCCTGGCCTTACTCCCTGCTCCAGTTTTCTGACAGGTCTCCCTGACCCCACCCTGTCCCCTCAGACACATTTCTCTCTCTGTAGCCAAAGTGACTGTTCTAAGATGTCTTGACAACCATACTTCTCTCTACACAAAAGCGCCCCGTTGGCTCCCCAGAGCCTATACCATCTAGTGGGACCCCAGCCAGTGTTCTCTGCTTCGTCTCCTGCAAGCCTCCATACCTCCTCCTGCCTCAGCTGGTGCTATCCCTCCCGGGTGAAGCCACTCCAGCCCACTGAGCAGGTGCGGGGTGCCCTCCACTCACTGGGCGTCCTCGCCCTCCAGCAGGCGGCGGTAGGTAGCGATCTCCTGCTCCAGCCGGGTCTTCACGTCCAGCAGCACTTGGTACTCGTGGTTCTGCCGCTCCATGTCACAGCGGAGCTCACTCAGCTGAGCCTCGATGCTGCTGATGAGCCCCTGCAGCTGGGTCAGCTGGGCTCCATAGCGTGCCTCGGTCTCCACCAGGCTGCCCTCCAGCGACGCTTTCTGGGGGAGGTGTAGGTGACTGGGGAAACCAAGCTGGGGCCCTTCCCCACGACGGAACCTCCAGAAGTGGGTCCCCAGGTGGTGCGGGCCTGTGGGTGCTGCCAGCATGGCAGAGCGGGCAGGGAGCCTCTGGTTCTCCCAGCGGGGGCCCAGGAGGCGGGGCCCACCCTGGAGCGGTGGGCACAGGGCAGGGAGGGGACGGTGGCCCTACCATGCTGAGCTGGGACTGAAGCTCAATCTCCAGGTTCTGGACCATGCGGTGCAGCTCTGTGATCTCCGTGCGGCTGCTCTGCAGGGCCTCGGTGTTGGTGGCCACCTCGCGGTTCAGCTCCTCCGTCTGGAAGGCAGGATGGGCCCCTGGGGCTTGAGGAGGCTGGCAGAGGTGAGGCAGAGGGCAGGGGCCACCCCCAAGCCCTGACCTCCCAGACCTGCCCTTCCCTGGCCCTAGAGGGCCTCAGGCTCGCTGGTACACACTGGCGCTTGCAGGATTCATCTTGTCCTGCGGTCCTCTGCTGCTTCCTTACTGGGTTGCAGGCGCACGTAAGGGCAGGCCCTGGCCTTTGCTCTGGGTGTTGTTCTTACTGGGGGCATAGGAGTCTGCATCCAAATACATACCTACCTACGGAATTCCCAGGCTGGGGGGCGGGGGGGTGTCTGGTGGGGTCGGAAGATCTGGCTCTGCTCCCCTGACCCCCGTAAAGGGCTATGTGAGCTTGAGGCCTCTCTGAGCCTCATAGTCTCCCCCTGAACGTGATGGTTTGGTCCCAACTGGCTTCCAAAGGTCCTTCCAGCTGGGAATCCACATCTGCAAGTTTTCCAGGCAGTACCCAGCACAAAGCACTGCGCACACCCATGTGCACACCTGCTCACGCAGGCCGCCCACCTTGCTGAAGAACCAGTCCTCGGCATCCTTGCGGTTCTTCTCTGCCATCTTCTCATACTGGTCGCGCATCTCGTTCAGGATGCGGCTCAGGTCCACGCCGGGGGCGGCGTCCATCTCCACGTTGACGTCCCCGCCCACCTGGCCTCGCAGGGCATTCATCTCCTGGGAAGAGAGGGATAGAGGAGCTCACTCAGGGCCATCCTGGGGAGAGTGCCTGGGGCTGCCTTCTCATTCTGGGAGAGATGATCACAGAGGACAGACACAGACAGGCCAACAGCTCCTCA